GGTGTGTTTGTGGAGAAGGAGCCTCTGGGGATTTCCAGAAGGCTGTCTTAAACATGAGGTTAAGAATTGAATTAATTTTCAAAATGATTGCCAAATAATATCCTGTCCATTTCCTAGTGATATCAGGGCTTTGAAAGTACTTCAGTGAAACAGGATGACTTTTCATAATGTAGGTATTTAGTAAATGTTTGATTAATTTAGATTTTTTTTAAATGAAGTAAAATGTCTCCGATTATGTTAGTAGTTTTCTCTAGCTTCCAACCTTACTGCTAGAGGTTCTAAAATCAAGTCTCCAAAATTTTGGACAGCAGTAAGAATTAAAGCGGTTTCTCTACTTTCTGTTTTGTTGGCAAATAAATTGGAAACTTATCTCAGGGGTAGGACACAGGGCTGGGCCCTCCCCAAGGTCCACAGTTCGGTGTCCAAAGCAGAAACGGCGCAGCGATTTAAAATCATCTGTCCTCTTCTAACTGCTTGTTTGGAGGATTCAGGCGTCTCAGTCTCCCTGCTCTGGAGGGTGGGGAACACGGGGAGGAGGCCTTGCAGGCAGTGAAATACGGGCTGCTCCCTGGCCTGGTCTAAGTCAGACTCAGACATTTCGGGAGCTTGGGCTGGCTTTGCCAGTACCGCAGTGCATATCCTGGCATGTCAGAACCAGAGCCAGAGAGCCACTCACTTGGCCTTGAAAGAAACTCTCAAATTTGCTTCTGAGAGGGCCATCACACATGCCTCCACCTGGGAGCTAACACATTCCCAACTCTGAGGACAAGTCATTACTACGCATGCTTAGAAATACTCTTGTGTTATTTATCTCACTGTTTTGGTTTTAAGGCACTAGGGGTGGCTTGTCTTTTATTTCATTTTATTTTCACTTCAACAGCTGCTCAATAAAAGGTGCATGTAAGACCTCAAAGTCTGGGATCATCCAGATGCTAACAAGCGATACTACCGTCCTGTGTCCTAGAGGAAGATATACCCGTTAATAATCTGTTTTATGGGCATTAATAATCTGTTTTTCTGGGTGTCCAGTACTGGCTTTTCAAGTGGTTTTAGCTCTTTTTTCTCAGTAATTTTTAAAAAGAAGTAAGTAGAAAACATCTAGGTCTTAATGAGCAAAGTATGGTCTTACTGAATATGTAAGTATTAATGACTGAATCCTCTTACATATGGGGGACACATAGAATACGTTTTTATTTAGCCCAGCATTGGAAGCCCAGCTTCCTGCTCTAGCACCGTGATGATTTTCCCAAGGCCGGGGCAGCTGTGAATGAAGAAGTCAGTAACACAGTGCTTGCCAGGAGATTATCCACAGTGATGAGTATTCAAACTAATTAAAACAGTCAGATAACTGATTTGTGATTGATGTAGTGCTTCATGCAAAAAAAAAAAAAATCCATTTTTATGCTCATCCAGCTGGTAAATGCCTCACAAGTAAGATTTATCAAAGGCAACAACTTGCATCGTCTTTTGACATCTTTTTCTTTCTTCCCCAAGATCTAGAAGTTAGCATCTGCCGATATGTTGCACTGACTGTGGGATCCATGGTTGGTGCCATTCTTAAAATAAGCCAGTACTTTTGTGTGGAGTGAGTGGGGACATTTGAGCAGCACTTCAGAGGGAAATAGCTAAATACCATTAACTACCCAACCCCAGAAAGAAATAAGATTAATGAAAAGCGGTCATCCTAGGTGAGGTAGGTCTCAGATTCATATCAGGAGAGGAAGAGAGAACTATGTGTCTTTGGAGGTCTGTCAGGAACCAGTGGAAGGTGTTCTGGGAGAAACAGAACTCCCTGTCACATTGGTCTGTCCCATCAGGTAGACAGACCCCTGAACAGTCTCTGTTCCAAGCACACAGGTAAATTCCTTTCCCATCACCTTCAAGTATAGTAACAAACCCAGTTGTGAGCCATTGAGAAACACTGATTGTTGGCAAAACCCATAAAAAGAATAAGGATAAAGAATCTCTAAAGCCCTTGAATTTCCCAACAGACCTTCTCCATTATTTAGATTCCATAAGGCTGAACATAGAACATTAAACAGAAATAGGTAAGAAGAAAAGGTACTTTTATTTTTGCTATTATTCTAACAAATTAGAATTTTGTTGTGGGGTTGTTTTTTTTTTTTTTTTTTTTTTTTTGGCCTGTTGTCAGTATTGTTCCACTAGAACTTCCATAATGCTACAACCATTACGTAGGAATGCATACGCCACCTTCCCACTGTTAATCTCTAGGACATTGTTTCTCAACTACACAAAGGAACTAAGATCCTTTTTCACAGGAGATAGATTTGGCAGTGAAAATCCACCTTCCTTATTTTTACTAATACACTTAATGAGCCTCCTCAGTTTAAAAAAGAAAAAAAAACAAACCCTCGGATTGTAGATGCAGAAACCATTGGATCAATTCTTAAATGTAAGTAGAGTCAAGAAAGACCAGTCTCCCCAGGGTCATTTCATAGCAACAGCCAGGGTCATCCTGAGACATAGACTGAGTGGAGCTATGCTTCTTAGAATAAGGTGAGGGATACCAGGCCATCTTCCCCCAGAAACCTCTCCCTTTGGTCTCTCCTGGGACCCAAAATGTTGGCATTAGTGCGCTAGGTCTTTGGATCTGTGATGCACATTCATTTGGTAAATCCTGTCTGAAAAATGACTGTGCATGAGACATTGCTAGCTGCTAGTTGGGGAAGTGCCTTCAAAGAACAAACAAGAACTAAAAGATGAGAGAAAGAGGAAGCACTTCCACCTGGGAGGACTATATGGTAGGCGGACCATTTTCCAGATGGATGTGGGCAGAGGAAATTCTAAGAGCCAAGCTGCAGAAGGGCAGAGGAGGATGGAGTAAACACATGCTAGACCAGGTCATGAAAGCCTTGATTTAACACCGGGTGACCAAGTAGCAGGGGCTGAATGTTCTAGAGCAAGTGGAGATCAGATCATTGAGTAAGGAAGACAAATGTGGGAAAGATGCGGAGTGGAGTGAAGGGAGAGGAATCAAAGGTAGGAAGAGCAGTTAAGAGGTTAGCACCCACACTGGGTCGTGATGAGTGACGGAAGAGATGGTTGTGATGATGTCATGAAAGGTGTAACGATAAAGTGAGGATAAGGTCCGTTTTAGACACGCCAGGTTGCAGGTGCTGGCAAGACATCCCAGAGAAAGGGGGACCATCTGACTATGAGATAAGGACCAGGAGAGCTGATGATTGAGAAGCACCAACAGGAACTGGGGGGCAGAAGTCAGTGAGTTGGATTCAGAGAGAAAATTTTTCATCACAAAGTCTTCTCAAGTCTCTCGCTTATGAAGCAGATAACCCTAAAAAGGGACACATTGAAACCAGTCTGAACTATTAGCATAAACTCTCTTACAGCTCAGTAGAACGTCTGCCAGTAAATCCAAGGACGAAATCATGGGTAGCCTTAAATAAGGAAAGCTGAGTCCAGAGCCAAGGTTCTTGCTAAGGGAGAACAGAGATGGGTGGACTAGTTGGGGCCATGGATAGTGTGAGGGTACAGTGGATGTCCACTGAGGCTTAGAAAGGGGAATGGGTCAGAGAGATCGCCCTACGGAGGCAGGAAGGCCTACTTCACTGTTCTGTCTTGTCCAGCTGGTGGGGGAGGACTGGGTAAGAGGGATCAAGAAAAACATAGGGTGGGAGGCCCACCCACCCTTCATCTCTGCAGTACTTCTGCCCAGCCAGCCTGAAAGGCTTTCTACTTCTATGGAAAGAATGAGTATAGATCTCTTTCACTTAACTCCTGTAGAACAGTGAGATTTCAGAAACTCAAGAATTCTGGAGAGCAGAATATTTGAGAATGGTGTCCTCCCAGGTCCAGTTATTTCCACATAAGAAGGAATTCCTGGGCCAGCTCCACCGCTAGACTGTGACTGTCCACGTCTCATCCTCCCGGGTGTATCTGTCTTGAGGAGCTAGTGTTGAATAAGAAGTTTGACATCTCTGGCTCAACCTATCCTCACAGGTGCTCTGAGAATCAAAGGTCATAGATGAAGGTCAGGTGACATAATGTATGTGAAATTACCTCGAAAACTCATTCACTCTATAAATCCTGGTTGTGGTGTATTTGCGTGCAGTTCCTGTTGCCCCTGAGAACTTACAGGAAAAACAATCTCAGGTTACGCCACCTTCTCTAGGATGATAAGGGATAAGCGGATAGCCGCGTTCTTCCTTTGGGAATAAATGGTGGCCTTTTTTTCCCTTGCTTGCTCAATTCGATGGTCACCTGCTTTTTTCTCTAGCCCACCTTCCCTGTTGCATTATTAGACTAACAAGCTGGGAGAGAGGACACTCTTCTCAGCTCAGCCGTCGAGCCCTTTCCCACCAAGACCTTCTGAGCCAAGGGTGAGGGAGGCTCAGCCCCAAGGACAGCAGCATCCCCACAGCATGGTGTAGGAGACAAGAGGGCCAGCAGTGACATGACAGAGAAGAGGCTGGCATCTGGTGTGCTGAGGGAGTTAGCAGGCTGGTGCCTCTCAACATTTGATGGCATCTTTCTTCAACTTTTTTCCCATAACCCCTTGCACAGTGCTTGGCATATAGAAGGTTGTTAATAAATATTTGTCAAATTAATGAAAAGAAGGGGAAATCTGTGGGAGGGAATCCCCCATCCCAACCTGTACAGTTTTTCTGCTGGTGACAGAAAAGTGCCAGACGACTAAGGGAACCCAGGTTAATGGCGTGAGTCACTTCTGTGGGATCGGCGGGAAGAAGACATCTGTGGACACCAGAGGGCTGTGTGCCATTAAGAGATATTCTAAATGCTTGGAGCAGAAAGGGTGAACTTAGTAAAGAAACCTTTCCATTAAAAAAAAAAAAAAAAAAAGACCATCAACAATAGTATGGTGAAACAAGTAGACCTCCTTAATGCATATACTTTGGAAAAAATCTATTTTTTTAGTTGGAGAGTTTATAAGAAGATAAATTCTTCACCACTACTCACAGTGGATTTCATGTTCACACCATTTATGCTTTTTTATATTTTAGGTCCTCCTGGCCCCAGAGGTCCAAAAGGTGACAGAGGACAGCAGGGACCCCCTGGTCCCACTGGCAACAAAGGACAGAAAGGAGAGAAGGGGGAGCCTGGTCCACCTGGCCCCGCCGGTGAGAGGGGCCCAATTGGGCCCGCCGGCCCCCCTGGAGAACGTGGCGGCAAAGGCTCCAAGGGCCTGCAGGGCCCCAAAGGCTCCCGTGGATCCCCCGGGAAGCCTGGCCCTCAGGGCCCCAGTGGGGACCCAGGCCCCCCTGGCCCAACCGGCAAAGACGGACCCCCTGGCCCTCAGGGCCCTCCTGGCTTCCAGGGACTGCAGGGCACCGTGGGAGAGCCGGGGGTGCCTGGACCACGGGGGCTGCCAGGCTTGCCTGGGGTGCCTGGAATGCCGGGCCCAAAGGGTCCCCCCGGCCCCCCAGGCCCATCGGGGGCAGCGATGCCCCTAGCCCTGCAGAACGAGCCAACCCCCACACCTGAGGCTAATGGTAAGTCTGAGACTTCCCTCACACCCGGGGTCAGGGGTGCTCTGTGCACTCCTGGCCGGCCCCAGCATGCAGCCCCGTGTGCCCCCGTGCCCCGCTTTGCTTGGCTTTGAAGCCTCTGTGAGGGCAGGCACATGGCCTTGGCTGCTCTCACAGACCTCTGCCCCGGCTGGGGTCTCTCAGGAACTTTGTGTTTCTCTCTAAACGCCATCATGTTCTATCACACTTGTTTATTTAGACGAGTCAGGCCCTTGGGGACAAATGCATCCCCTTCATGCAAGTCTGAGGCTGGCTACCCCCAGCCAGTCTTGTTCTCATCTTATGCCCCTCAGTAACCGTGTAGATGGAACTTTCTGTTACTAAAGCCCAGACTGCATGGTTTTGAGAGGGTGTTCTGGTGCTTCTACCTTTTTTAATTCAATTACCAAATTTTGATAATTTGGCAAAACCATCAATGTTTGCTTAGCGACTAAGCCTATTTTTGTCTCCTTTGAATCATACCCAATTCCACTTGATTTCCTTAAGCACGACTCTGGTTGTCTTTTTTTCCACAAGCCCCGTTTTGGTTGTGGGTTCTCCCCTGTATTTATTGATGGGTTCCATAGGACTCCAGACTAATGTGGCACATCTGTGGCTGCTCAGCCTTTTGTTTCTGTTCTTTCTGTCATTGTAAAGACTAATCCAGACGCAGAGGGACTAAGTCCCAGTGTCCTTAACTTTCCAGGCTCTGTAGTTCTTACTACTGTGTCCTCTGCGGCCTGCCGCCCTCCTCCCCACTAGAGTCTGCTCCCAGCCTCTCCAGCACGGGCAGTCGCAGGCTCACACGTTGACGCGCGAACTGCTCCTGGCCTTGGAGGGAAGCAAGGCCAGAGCCACGGCCTCTTAAATATAACTGAAGAAGGGCGTAGTGCTTTGTATGTGTGTTGGTTTTTTAATTAATATTTTAAACGTTTGTGCTCCTAGGCTGCCCCCCTCACTGGAAGAATTTCACGGACAAATGCTACTATTTTTCGGTTGAGAAAGAAATTTTTGAGGATGCAAAACTCTTCTGCGAAGACAAGTCTTCACATCTCGTTTTCATAAACACAAGAGAGGAACAGGTATGTTTGCAGTATGCTTAGAGAAAACTATCATTTAAGGATTGTTTACATCTGGAAATTGCATGCTTAACTGGGGATTCAAAGATATCAAAAATCCGTAAGTCACATAAACACAGAAGGCCGCACTCTGGCGATTTGGGCTTTATCCAGTGACAAGAGCATTCACGGCATGGGAATTACGTCCTCTTGCTTCCACCTGAAAGATACTGCTGTATTAAGCCTGGAGATGGTGGCTCCTCCCGGTGGCTTCTCCCAGAAGAGCTGTAATATGGAAGAGAAGTCCGCTGGCTGGCACCAAACACCGGTGGAGAGAGAAGCCAAGGGGCATGAGCACTGTAGGGGTGGGTGCAGGGGACAAGGTGTGTGACCTCAGCAGTAGAGAAGGCCCCAGGGCCGAGCTCCCTCATGATCACGCTGGTGACCACTCCCTAGGCCCCTACTATGGGCCGGGCACTGTACAAGGCATCTCTTCTTTACACCTCACAGCAAGCCCAGAACCTGGGGTATTATTATCCCCCTTTTACAGATAAGAAAACTGAGGCCCCACAAGGTTTAATGGCTTTATTTATAGGATGACAAGTAAATGCAGAGCTGAGACTGAAACTGAGGTCCCTCTAACAACGATGCCAGTGCTCTCTGGTGCCACACTGTTCCAGTGTCCTCCTTCCATTTCCCTAAGTATCTTCAGCAGATGCAGCCCTGACAACAGATGTTTCCTACACTGACTAACTGGGGCTGGGCATCCAGTCAGATGCCTGGGTTTTAGAATATGCAGACTTGGGTTCCATCTCAGCTCAGCCACTCACTACCTTGGTTGCTGGGAAGGCTTACAGACAGGTTGTTTGTGGCACGTGGACACGGGAGCTGGCCCAAGGAAGCGCTCAATAACGCCATGGCTGTTCGTGTCATCAGAACACTGGAGCGACGGGTGATAGAAAGGAATGGAGCCTGGTGGGATTCATTAAGTTGTCTGGGTGATTTAGAAGAGGAGCATCCCTTAAATATCATTTACAAACCTATAGGAGGAAAATGCGTCCAAGCCCCCAACCACTGCAAAAGAAAAACAAAAACAAAAACAAAAAACAGGTGCAGTTAAAAAAAAAAAAGCAGAAGCATGTACACACCATAACACACCTTCTCTTAAACGTCCTTTCTTTTCCCCAAATGTTGCAGGGAAGGGGGCATTCCTCCAGATACCTGTCCCCCCCCCCAAATAATGACACACTGATTTGTGTTTCAGCAATGGATAAAGAAGCAGATGGTAGGGAGAGTGAGCCACTGGATCGGCCTCACAGACTCAGAGCATGAAAACGAATGGAAGTGGCTGGATGGGACATCTCCAGAGTATAAGTGAGTGTTCAGAGCCTTCCAGGCTATTCTCTGGTTCTCACCCCTTCCCTGGCCCCTTGCAGTCTCTTCTTTAAACACTCTGTGTCCTAGATGCCCCTCACACTGAGGCTTCTGCTACCTGTTGTGTGCTTCCATGTGTGGTTGAGAATCAGTAAGCTATAAACTAGTTTTGGGGTTTTTTTTCCTTTTCATGGCATGAATTTTTTTTCATTCCTATGGAAAAAAAATCAGAGACTCATAACATCTCGCAGTATGGTAATTGTGGTGAGGTGTTCTCTTCCGTCGCTGCTGTGAAGGATAAGACTACACCAGGCACGATGAGAGCTCACCCCTGTTCAAGGGCTGGGAGCTCGCTTCAGGATAACACCGTCAGTGGCCCTGACCCCAGCTGGGCTTCTGGCCAGAGTGTGATTTATGAACTACAAGTTTGTGACAGATGCACCAGGCACAAAGATGTGGTGTGTGGGGGATAATCATCCTCTAAGTGTTTGAGAAGTCCTTGTTAGTCTGGTGTGACCTGAATTCTATAAAGGCAGCGACAAAGAATGGAAACCCTTTACAATACCTGCACAGGCTCCCAGGCTCATGGAGACTTCTGGGCTCCTCTTTCAACCACTAGGGCTGTCCTCTCCACTTCTTCCTTAATACGACCCCAGGGTCAGGAGATGGCTGAATTGTACCAATTTGAATTTCACTTCTTCCAACTCCTGTTTTGCCTTTAATGAATGTGAAAATATGCCACACACGGTACCACATGCAGCAGAATTTATGAAAACTCACCTCTAAATAACCAGCCTTTCCTTTGCTGGAGAAGAGAAGGTAGACACCCTGCAGAGGCTCAGGCAGGCATGAGGGCGTCACGGTTTGGAGGTTTGGAGGCAGCTATGATCATCGCATGGGGGAGGAGACCATGGGGTGCCTCAGGCTAAGATAGTGTCGGGAGTATTGAGGTGTGACCTGTCGTGGTCAAGGACCGGGAGCTGGGGCCAGAGGTGGTGGAGAAGCCAGTGTGTCTAAAATGTTTCTGTGGGGGCGCCTGGTTGACTCGGCCAGTTAAGCATCCGACTCTTGAGATTTCAGCTCAGGGCATGATCTCAGGGTGTGAGGTCCAGCCCCAAGTCAGCTTGAGCCCCAAGGCTCTGCACTCTGCAGAGAGTCTGCTTGAGATTCTCTCTCCCCCTCTGTCTCCGGCTCATTCATATGCGCTTTCTCTTGCTGGCTCTCTAAAAAATAAAAATTTTTTTTTTTTAATTTGACAGAGAGAGATCATAAGTAGACAGAGAGGCAGGCAGAGACAGAGAGAGAGAGGGAAGCAGGCTCCCCGTCAAGCAGAGAGCCCGATGTGGGGCTCGATCCCAGGACCCTGAGACCATGACCTGAGCCTAAGGCAGCGGCTTAACCCACTGAGCCACCCAGGCGCCCCAAAAATAAAATCTTTTTAAAATTTCTTTGAGAGAAAGAGCACATGGAGGCAGGGGCAAAAGGAGAGGGAGAAGCAGACTCCCTGCTGAGCAAGGAGCCCAACTCAGGGCTCTATCCCAGGACCTTGGGATTACGATCTGAGCCAAAGGCAGGTGCTTAACCGAATGAAACACCAGGCACCCCTAAAAAATAAGTAAATCTTTTTTTAATTTATTTTAATGAACATATAACGTATTTTTATCCCCAGGGGGACAGGTCTGTGAATTGCCAGGTTTACACACTTCACAGCACTCATCATAGCACATACCGTCCCCAATATCCATATCCCCACCACCCTCTCCCATCCCCCTCCCCCCAGCAACCCTTAGTCTGTTTTTTGAGATTGCATCTTTTATGGTTTGTCTCCCTCCCAATCCCATCTTCTTTCATTTTTTTCTTTTCCTACCCCCCAACCCCCCCACATTGCATCTCCACTTCCTCATATCAGGGAGATCATATGATAGTTGTTTTTCTCCGATTGACTTATTTCGCTAAGCATAATACCCTCTAGTTCCATCCATGTCGTCGCAAATGGCGAGATTTCATTTCTTTTGATGACTGCATAGTATTCCATTGTGTATATATACCACATCTTCTTTATCCATTCATCTGTTGATGGACATCTAGGTTCTTTCCATAGTTTGGCTATTGTGGACATTGCTGCTATAAACATTCAGGTGCATGTGCCCCTTCAGAGCACCACGTTTTTATCTTTAGGATATATACCCAGTAGTGCAATCGCTGGGTCATAGGGTAGCTCTATTTTCAGTTTTTTGAGGAACCTCCACACTGTTTTCCAGAGTGGTTGCACCAGCTTGCATTCCCACCAACAGTGTAGGAGGGTTCCCCTCTCTCCGCATCCTCACCAGCATCTGTCATTTCTTGACTTGTTAATTTTAGCCATTCTGACTGGTGTGAGGTGGTATCTCATTGTGGTTTTGATTTGTAGTTCCCTGATGCCGAGTGATGTGGAGCAAAAAATAAATAAATCTTAAAAAAAAAAAAAAAGTTTCTGTGTGCGTGTGCCTGGGCACAGGGAGACAAATCTTCCACATGACAAGCAAGATTAAAGTAGAGGCAGAGGGGCGCCTGGGTGGCTCAGTGGGTTAAGCCTTTGCCTTCGGCTCAGGTCATGATCCCAGGGTCCTGGGATCGAGCCCCACATCAGGCTCTCTGCTCAGTGGGGAGCCTGCTCCCTCCTCTCTCTCTGCCTGCCTCTCTGCCTACTTGTGATCTCTGTCAAATTAATAAATAAAATCTTTTAAAAAAATTTAAAAAAAAAAGTAGAGGCAGAAACCAGTGTAAGGCCATTTCTTTACAGAACAGTGACTAAACATCAAGATGGAACATTGGAAGGTTTTAAGTCTGCTTGGAAGGTAAGCCTCACAGTGCCCCCAAGGCAAGTGGTTATCTGCTGCTGGGCCAACAGATATCCTGTGTGCCCCCTCTGCACCTGTCCTTCGGGAGAGGAAGCTATACCACATCTTGGCACTTGGGGGGTTAGCTGGCGGTCCAAGGAGAGCACCCAGCACGGCATGATTATACCTCAGGAGACTCAAAACCGTTGGAAAGGTTGGCGGTAGAGATGAAAGATGGAAGTTATTAAAGGAAAAAGATAAAACTGGTCTTAGACAAGATTGCCGGGGTCTTTTTTTTTCTTTTTTTTTTTTTAGGGAGTTGAAAGTAGGTGAGTCAAAAAAAACAAAACACTTCAGCCACCTCCACTTTCCTCACAGTCCTAAGTGCAAAAAAGGTCTGGGTTAGACTCACTAAGAAATTTAGTGGGAAGCCTTCCTCCAAGAAAAAACTGTATTGGCCCATGTGGGATGGATTGAGCTGGACCATTACAGGCTTCACTGGCTTTCCCCAAGTGTCAATCTCCCCTTCCCTCGGCTCTACAAGAGTCGGGTGACTTGGGAGGAGAACACCTGCATCAGTACCTGGGACCTGAGAAGGATGAGCTCACCAGGCCCCTTCCCGGAAACTCCGTCTCCAGTCACAGCCACCACGGAACCCCGCAAGGGCCTGGTCTTCTGCACTCCAGCCACAGCACCCCATCCCTCTCGCTTCCCACCCAGAGGAACACATACAATTGACGAGTCCACGGGATCAAGTTTTTTTTTTTTGTTTTTTTGTGTGTTTTTTTTTTTTTTTTTTAAAGATTTTATTTATTTGACAGAGACAGCAAGAGAGGGAATGAGAGAGGGAGAAGCAGGCTTCCCACAGAACAGAGAGCCCGATGTGGGGCTCGATCCCAGGACCCTGGGATCATGACCTGAGCCAAAGGCTGATGCTTAACCTACTGAGCCACCCAGGCGCCCCCACGGGATCAAGTTTTAAAAGCAAGAATAAATGAAGCAGATGGTTTATGCGGCCTCAAAAACGAAAGGTTAATTTAATTTGACATAAAATAATAGACACTGCTCCAACTAGAAAAGGAGCCGGTGCAGGGAGGTCCGTCCGGGTTCCAGGCTTGGACGTGGCCTTCGTCACTGCCAGGTACTCAAGCTTGCGGACCACATGTCCTTCTCTAGCAACCAGTCTTACAGAAGGGCCTGCAGCGGTATTGTGAAAACGAAAGGAAACGGGATTATGTATATAAAACGTTTAAGACAGTGTGTGGCCCATGGGAAGTGCTCGGGAAAGGTCACCTGCTAGTCCCTGTGTGAGTATCACTATCATTGTCAGAATCTAAGTGTCTTCACACCCGTCAGTCACTGCAGAACACGACCACCTGCCCTTGAGGCGTTTTACCATATCCTGACTCTCATGCCACATGCGCTGCCTCACTCAGATCCCACACCAGGGCCGTGAAGGAGAACATTCTCCACCATGACCTGGGGATGGGGTCTGAGCTCCAGGCTCCTAGGGGTCTCTCACCAGTATGTCCTTATATTTCACCACATGTCTATGAAAACTTCTTTCCTGGCCAGCATCAGACCCCGGACTGGAAATGGGGATCCAGCAGCCCACTGTCCCGTGTCCACATTCACTAAATTATCCTGGAGCGCCCGTTGTGAGCCAGCCTCTGTGCTGGCCTAGAGGATATTTCCTAGAGTATAGGGCCGGCGCTACTCATGAGACTTGTTGCTCTAAGGAAAGTCTGATTTCCGGGGCGCCTGGATGGCTCAGTAGGTTAAAGCCTCTGCCTTCGGCTCAGGTCATGATCCCAGGGTCCTGGGATCAGGCCCCGCATCGGGCTCTCTGCCCGCCTCTCTGCCTACTTGTGATCTGTCAAGTAAATAAATAAATAAATAAATAAAAAGAAAGTCTGATTTCCAAGACCATGTCACAATCAAGCAGACAGACATACCACCCCTAAATGTGGACACAGAAAAGAGCAGAGCTTCAAGGGACATCTCAACATTCTCCTTGAAGGAGTTGACAGAACAAGTAGAAAAATCAGTAGGGATATGGTAAACGCTGTCGACTAACTTGGCTTAATCGATGTTCATGGGCTGCTTCACTCAATAGCTATAAATACACACTTTTCAAGTACATTCCGTGTATTCGCCAAGACACACGTGGTGGGCCATCAA